GACTGGTCAAATTTCATAACTTTGGCTCTAAGAAAGTCCGAAAGAAATGGTGTTTTTGCAAGCAAATGAGCGCACGTCGACTGGGTTGTTCGATAGGCCTGTATGCATCGGACTAATACCTGATATTGTAGGGAGTCAAGCTTCTTTATGTTATTTTTTGTGATGTAAGGAAACCAGATTTCGGCACCGTCATAATAATCATAATGATGATGACAATGATTTTGGGATTTTTTTTTCTCTTTTTTTTCGTTCTTTTCGTTTTCGTTCACACTACAATCATAATGATGATAAGCGAGACATAGAATAACAACAACAACAACAAAAAGGAAAAGGAAGAACGCCCAGAAAAAAAGAAGGGAATAAAATCTTAGAATCACTCATACACACACACACACACTCACACACTCATGCATTCACAAAAAAAAAAAATAATAAAATTCTTCGTTTTGCTTATGTAATCGACCGATTTTTTTCATGCTTGTATGTCATTTAGGTTTTTGTTGTCATTTGCTATTTTGGCTTTTTTTAGCTTTCCAGAATTTTGTGTTTGTGTTGTATGGTCTTGGAAACCATAAAACCATATATATATATTGAGAAACTTGAATAGTTTTTTGTTTCTTCAAATAATAATAATAATTGTTTTCTTGTTTGGCCAAAATAACCAAGAAAAAAAAATGATTGTCAACACTAATAAAAAAAAATACTGAAATAATAAAAATGAAATGAAAAAAAAGGATAAAAAAGACGAAATCTTACGTCAAACTCATAAATATTATATGCTAAAACAGATTCTTTGGAACAACAAAAGCAACAACAACAACAACAATGCAACGATATAAACACATATCAATGCAATCTAGTGTTCCAAAATAATGATAATGATGATGATTTTCATTATCATTATGAGAAAATGATTATAATGACGATGATGATGATGAAAATATATTTTGATTTTTTTCACCAAAATTTCAATTTTGAATTTTTTTTTCTCATTGATTCTTATTTACGGTATCAAACAAAATTCACGGTGCCATGGGCAAATGGTCAAAAATAATGGTCAAAAAGTTGACAATAATTTTTGCAATTTAATTTAAGAAAAACAAGACAAAAATTGGGAAAAAAGAAACATTTTTTGAGAAAAAAAAATCACGTGCTTTTTAAAAAATATTTTTCTTTGCTCATAAATGATGTTATAACATTTTTTTTGTAACACATTTTGGCTATCTTCATAAACATCGATTGAATGAAAATATTGATTTTCATTTTCAAGCCAACCAAGCCAACTTTGGGCATACCCAACAAAAATCATTTTTTGTCCTCTGTAATCGAATTTGCTGGCCACCATGCTATCGTTAACACGCCAATAAGCTAGACAGCCAAACATTTTCAGGTGGTTAATAGGACACAGTGTTTCCCGTAAATTTTTCAAACCGAACTATATAATTTTTTGTTGGCCATCAATTGATTAGGTAATTTGCACAGTTGACAGAAAGATGTCAATAATCATCAGGCAACTTTGCATGTTTCTTCAGCAACGTACGAGCACATTCCATCAGTATTTTGCATGATCGATTGTCTAAGTTCATGATGTGCTGTGGGACTCTTTTCCGAAGATTTTGTTGTATAACTTTGATTTTATTGAACATGAATATTGACAGAAGAGGATGATTGTTCAGTTGCATTTTCGATCATACAGATATAGTCCCATATATATGTAGGATTTTTGTTTTTCACTCCAAGCTGATTGACAATTGAAAAATCATTAAAAATCCAAACTCCAATTGGAGAACATTGCAAATGTTCGTTAAATTTCAATTTATTAAATTCATTATTTTTTTTACATTCTTGTTCAAACAATAATTGAGAAACGATTGATTTGTTTTTCATGATTAATTTCACTGGGTTTGACCCAAGAAAATTTGTAAAAATCGAATTTGTATTTGGAATTTTACTATTCCAAATCTCATGTACTGGTGGAATAAACAATAAATCAATAAAATAATTTCAATCAATTTAGTTTGAATACTTTACCGCCCGGAATGTACGTAGATAAATTTTCAATAAATTTCAGTATTGATACTTTTTTTCATTCTTTTCTATTCGAATTGATCCATTTTTTAAAAATTATGATGACGTTATATTCATCGAATGAATGACTGTGAGTGAGTGAATATGTGCATCGATGTTTCCTGTTAAACTTCTTCTTCTTCTTCTGTACGTTGTTTGTTTGTGTTTTTTTTTTTTCAAATTAAAAAAAATAAAAGAAATTCGCTAGAACTTCTCAGAAATTTGAATTGAATCGAATTAAATTGATTCTGCCGATTCTGTTGAATTTTTTTTTTTGGCAGTTGAAGTTGAAACATTTATTATGAAAATAAATTGTTTTTTTTCTGGCTTGAAAATGATAATTTTTCATCGTTGTTGTTGTTTCTCATTTTTAAATAGAATTCATTGATATTTAATGTCTTTTGGTTTTGGGAAAAAAACCCTGATACATATACACAAGTTCATGATTTATTCATATGTACGATAATAATAATAATGATATGATAGCTATTTCAATATTGATTGATTGATTGATTATTGATCGACTCCAATCAAATTGTTTCAATATCGTGTAGTCAAAATAAATCGAAGAATAGACTTGTGTGTGTGTGTGTGTGCGTTATAAAATCAATTTGCTGTTTTTTGATCAAATTTTACCTTTTAGAATTTTTTTTTTTTTTCAATTGAATCCAAAATTTTTGGAATTCTTACATTTACCGATAATGGGATTTGTGCTTGTCTCCAAATGTGGATGATGATGATGATGATGATGGATCTATCTGGAATTTATAATTTTCAAATCTCAATCTATAGAATCGATTTTCTATTCAAAAAAAAAATTTTTATTTTTGTCCACTATAAATGTTAATTTTTCTTTTCCATTCTCTGTTTCTATCTTTTTCCCATTTCAATTATTCTGAATAAAAACTTTTCTTATTCTTGGTGATATTTTTTTTTTTCTTTTTCTTGTTCGCATCACCAAATTATCAAAATGAAAAAAAAATTCAAAACATTATTATGGATAAGATATGATGATAATGGTGGTGGTGGTGGTATGATTTTGATTGGCTTGATTCCCAATGGGAACTTTTTTCTCTCGTTTTTTTCTGATTCTGATTGAAAATTATTCAAATGGAAAATGTCTACACTTTGTCTGTTTGTTTGTGTTTGTGTTCTGTATGTAATATTGGCCCATATAATTTGACAATTTTTGATTTTCAAATTTTCCATCATCATAATGTTGAAATTTTCTATTGAAGTGGTTTGATTGTGAATAAATAGAATAAATGAATGTATGCAATTTACATCTACAGACAAGCAAAAAAAAAACTTATTAATAGCCGGATGTATTCTATTTGGTTTTTCTTGTGTGTGTGTGGGTGTGTGATGTTGGAAATATGTTTTTAAAATTCGTTTTTTTTCTTTGCTTTAAAATTCAATGATAATAATTTGCATTCGATTTTTTTAAATTTTTAAATTTTTTTCTTTGATGTTGATGAGAATCCTATTTGAATATCATCAATATCAATTTGTTTCAGCATGTTGATCAAGAAAATTTCAATTTCATGAATTATTTTCTTCTACTTTCTTTTTTTTCACGATTATCTTAGATGAGATACATGAAAATTGAAGAAAATTATTACATTGGGAGGCAATGTTTTGTGATTCTAATATTGAACAACAACAACAACAACAACAACGACGACGACGACGACGACAATATCGACAACAATACAACGACAAACAGAATCAATATTGGCAGCATCAACATTACAAACAAACAAAATCAACAAAAACGACGACAACGTCAACAACAACAACAACAACAACAGGAAAATTTTCGACATCTTCGGCATTGTCGATAAGAAAATCTTTTCATATCATCAATAATAATAATAACAACAACAACGACAATGAAAATGACAATGACAACAAAAGTGTATGTTTAGTATTTACATTTTTATTATCAACAACAATATTATTGTTAGCATCTAAAGAATTTGATACGACAAAATGCAAATTAAAACATTATCATTATCATCAAACATACCACCATCATCATCAACAGCCACCATCATTATTATTATTGAAGCCAAAATTTGTCAACTATCGCCACCATCATCGTCATCATCATCATCATCATCAACATTGTCGGGCAATAATCAATGTTTTTCGTACAACAACAACAACAACAACAAAAACAATTTATTTGATGAAGTATTACGTGGACAGGTGCAAATTTTCCATTACATTATTATTAATATTATCGATATTTTTATTTGGAAACAATCATACAACAACAACAACAACAGCAGCAGCAGCAGCAGCAATAACGACGACATTGATACTAATATTAAACCGGAAACTTATACAAAGAAAAAGAAAAAAAGAAAAAAAATCGAAACAACAACAGCACAAAAAATTCGATCAAATCATTATAGATTTGTTGACAAAATGGATGATGACAATGATGACAACGGAAGTATTTTACAAAATTTTTCAAACAAAAAAATTTTGCCAAATTCAATCTATCATTTTTGGAAAAAGAAAGAGAAAGAAGAAATTTCCTGGAAATTCACATTCTATGTTTATTTTAATTTTTTTACTATCAATACGGCCAACATTATCCATTACATCATCAACAACACCGACAACAGCAACAGTAACAACATTAACGACATCTTTATTACCATCATCATCATCATCACCGACACCATCAACGCCTACAATTATACATCAATCAGCGACATTATTACCGGATCAAGAACAAATATCAATATCATATTTCGAATCATTACAATCAACAACGATGATGATGACAACAGAAGAAGAAGCAATAAAAACTTTAAATCAGTCAACAATGTCTACAACAACAATATCAACAATCAATCCGGTAATATTGCCACCAACACCACCATTATCATCAACAACAACAACAACAACAACAAGATGTTGATAATAATAAAAATCATCATAATCATCGTAATTATCATTATTATCATCATCATCAACAATATTCGTATTCATATAACGTCCATTCATATGCACCAACATCATCGTTATCATTATATAACAGCAATAATAATAATAATAATAATCATCGATCAAAAACATTATATATAGCGGGTTTTTTTCCAACATCTCGTGATATACCACAAGGTGCAATTGGTCGTGGTGTATTACCGGCCGTACGTTTAGCATTACAACATGTGAATGAAAGCCCATTATTTACTAAATATCGTTTAGATCTTGTTTGGAATAATACAAAGGTAAATGAGATTTGTTTTTTTCTCCCAGCTTGTTTCCGATTATTTTCAAATGAAAAAAAATGAATGAAAAAAATCTAATTAAAATTTTGTTTGTGCATGTGTACGACTTTTTATTATGGATATTTGAATTACGTTTTGTTTTGCTTTGTTTTATTCTATTCATCTGATTCATAAAATGGAATGAAAACAACAACAACAATGTTCACATCCTTTAATTGAATTTAAACATAATTTGATTGTTTTTTTTTTTCATTTGGATTGGATCAACTTTTTTTTGGGATGGTTTTCTGGCCAATTTTTTTTTCATGGCTATCTTAGCTAGTAGTAGAAATAAAAAATCCAATGCTAATTTATGATACCGGTACGATTTTTATTTGAAATTTTTTTTTTGCTCGTCACGTCATTTACGATCATGCGGTTTTTATATATCAATATAATTCTGTGGATATAATGAATCAGTTATACAATTATGGACACACCACCACCACCACAACCAATCTTTTTTTTTTTTCCTCTTGAGCTCAATAATTTCTGGAACCAATTGGTTCCAGAAACGTGAAAGTTGTTTTTTCGTTGTTGTAGTTTTGAATGCCACATGCATACACACACACATTGTTCCACAAAGAATCATTCAATAATCAAATGAACCAGATTCTATCTTATGAATATAACAAATTAATCAGGTTTAAAACAAAACAAAAAAAAATAATTAATCTTTCTCTTCTGGTTCTCGTTACCATCACTGTCGTTGTTATTACCATTTTGTTTCAATTTCTTTTCGTTTCTTTTTTTTTTTTTTTGGTCTACCCATTTTGATGGGCCTTTATTTTTTGTATTCATTTCCAAAATGAACAAATGTGTTTCGTTGTCGTCGTCGTCGTCGTCATTGTGCATTTCATATAAACGAAAATTTTTTCTTTTCTTCGCCAGTTGATTTTGATTGTCTTTATTATTTTCTTGTTGCGAAAAAATAGAATTGAAATGAAAAAATGAAAATCGTTTCACTTTTTCAAATTTCAAGTCTTTGGCTTTCTTTTTTTTCCAGTTTCGATTTTTCCGGTTCGACGTTTGTTGAATTGATTTTTTTTTCATCATTGCTTTTACATTCATTTCATTTTCTACCATTCTGAATAATTTGACGTATACATCAAGTCATTTAGAATATTCCAGAATGACAGTGTGACAGTAAACTGTGTAAGTGAAGAAATGATTCTTATTCTTATTCTTCAGTCAATAGTATTGAATTTAGAATTTTTGAAGAAAACAAAAAAAAACTGCCAACTTCTTATTCTTATTCTTCAGTCAATTCTGTGTGTTCAGTATTGAATTTATCACTGATGAATTTTTGAAGAAAACAAAAAAACGAACTCAGAACAGGACTGCCAACTTCATTTGTTGTACCGAAATTGGATCTGAAAACATGAGTGAATAAGAATTGGTTTCCGGATCGAATCAAAAATAATTTTAATTTCTTTTTTTTCGAATATTCGGTCGCCGGCCTTTACTTTACTTTTTTCGACTTACTCTAATTCCACTTCTTTTTCAATTCACAATTCTTAAATTGTTTTTTCCGCTTTGAATTTTTTCATGCATTAACTATAGAACAAATTCCGTGTAATATATTCTTTTCTATTATTCTGTGTGATGAGATACTAAAGGCGTCAAGCGTTCTTATTCTTATTCTTCAGTCAATAGTATTGAATTTAGAATTTTTGAAGAAAACAAAAAAAAACTGCCAACTTCATTTGTTGTACCGAAATTGGATCGAGTGAATAAGAATTGGTTTCCGGATCGAATCAAAAATAATTTTTAATTTCTTTTTTTTTACTTTACTTTTTTACTTACTCTAATTCCACTTCTTTTTTTCAATTCACAATTCTTAAATTGTTTTTTTTTTGAATTTTTTTTCTATAGAACAAATTCCGTGTAATATATTCTTTTCTATTATTCTGTGTGATCAGATACTAAAGAAGCGTTCCCGTGTATTTATTAGATTCGTTTGTTATTTGATCAATGATCATCACTGATGATGATGATGACGATGATGATAATGATCACGGGTATAGTGTGGTAGTGGTCGATACGACGAAACCGACCCACACAAGTAAATGAATGAATTGTAAGTACAAATAGACAGAGGTAGAATTACTCAAGAAAATTGAATTACCGACAAACAAAGGAGAGAGAAATAAAAATAAAAGGAAAAAATTATCGACAAAAAAAAAAGAATTTCATGGCCCTGAAGCATTTGAAATGGAATGAAATGAAACATACACGCACACATCTAAAAAACGAATCTCATCACTAACAACAACAACAACAACAACAACAACAAAAACCATTTTCAAACGAATCAAATTTGAACAGATCATCATCAGTTATCATTATTACCTTTATAATATTTTGATTTGGTAAAACATTGGCAAGTTAGTTGATTAGTTAGTTTTTTTCTTCGTTTTCTTTTATTTCAATTCTTTTCTCTTGGACAACTAATGGATGTTTATTGTTCATTGTTGTTGTTGTTGTTGTTTTTAAATTTGTTTCTATTCATCAATGGATCTATTGATGATTCGTATTTCGTTTTATCATGATGATAGTTTTTTTTTTGTTTCTCAGTTTTATCACAGTAAATGTGTTGATGATATTAAAATTTGGCAAATAAAAATAGAAAAATAATTCAGTAAATTCACTGGAATATATAGATATAAATGTGTGTGTGTGTGTGGAGTGGGAAAGAATAAAGCAGAATGGTCAACGGAGTTAGTATGGAATCGGTGTTGTTCGATTGTGTCGTGATCAAAATATTGATGTTTGACCATTTATACCCGTATATAAACACGAAGACGACGACAATTATCATTCATTCATTCATTCATTCATGCTTAATTCTTGTTTCTGATAAACAGATAGATAGATAGATTATTTCAAAAAAAAAAAAAAAAATTCCACCAGCAGTATATCGTGGTATTATCAAACAATGGTGAAGAATAAAAACTTCACTGGTCAATAGCACATTTCCATTTTATTTTTGTGTGTGTTTTTTTTCATATTCTTTTACTCAAATTACACTGTGTTATACTTACTGGTTGGTTTGTTGTTTTTTGTTTTCATTTGGTTTGTGCACTGAATTCGGGATTTTTTTTTTGCTTTCTATACGTGTAGTATTTTGGTATGCGAGATTTGTGTTTTTTGCGTGTGTGTGTGTGTGTGTGTTTATCAAATCGTTTACTATTTTGGATTTGATTTTTCTCTTTTTTTTCCAAAGAATCCGATCAATGATATCAATGCAATTGGATACAATGTAATTACGATTTGGAACCAATTTGGAATGATGATGATGATTACCATCATCATCATCATCATCGATAGGCCAATATCGTTAATATTATCGAAATCTTTTTTTTCTTTTCATTTCCGTATTTTCCACGAACATTTATCGCCAATATAAATTGTCTTCATTTTTAGTTTTTTCGTTTCTATTTTGGATCAAATTATTCTGTTCTTATATACTGAGAAAATGTAATCGTTTTCTGCTTTTATTACAATGTTTGGCTTCAATTGCCTCAAGTGAAAACGATACACACACACACACGTAATGATGATTTTTTTTTTTGATAGATTAATATTTTTGAAATTTTTTTTTTGCTTCAGGCTTCATTTTTATTTCAGAATTTTTTTTTAGCGAAAAAAAACCTTTATGGTACATTTGATTCTCAGCCATTCATATTCAATGGCTGGCTAGCCCCTGAAATCGGTGGCTTCTCAACATTTAAACAGCATTTAATTTAAAAAATTAAAATTTTCAAATTCTGTGTGTGTGTGTGTTTGATATGTTTTGATGATTTCTTTTTTTTTCGTTATTTGTTGTGGTTTTTAATTTTTTTTTCTTCATCGACAGTTTCTTTATTCCATTCTTGATTATCGATTAATTCTCTTTTACAATAAACAACAACAACAACAACAAAAAAATAATATTCTTATCACACCCACATACACACACACAAAAAAATAAAACATGCAAATGTCCACATGCGCATCAAAAACAGGCCATAGAAAGTGAAAAAATAATTCAAATGCATCATTTGCATATTTTTTCCAGTTTCTCTCTCTCTCTCTCTGTCGATGGAAAACAAAAAGTTTTTTCTCACTATACAAATTTCATATTCGACATTATCATCAAATGGACACACACACACACACACATATTACTAACACCAAACACCGTAATCACGATTTTTATATTATAATCATCATCATCATCATTTATTGTCAGTAGAACAAGTGAAAAAAAAATTGCATAATATTTTTTTTTAGCCATTTTTAATACAAATTAACGGATTGGAACAATTAAACCGTTTTCAGTCTGTGTGTGTGTGTGTGGTACCAATAAAAATTGGATTTTTTTTCTGGTTTGATGTCTACTATAGCAAGACCGATAGTGAATTTGTGTGTGTGTGTGTGTGTGAGAAAACTTTTTTTCCACACCATTTTTTGTTTTGTTTTTTTGTTTAATTTGCTTATTTTTTTTTCTCTGGTAATTTTCATTCGTCGTCGTCGTTGTCGTTATTAGGCCTAATTATGATGGAAATCATAATGTTGTTGTTTTTTGTGTTAACTAACTTGAAGTCTTTGTTTTTTTTGCTGTGCCACTGATAAAAAAAAAAATGTCAGCCTGTTACGGTAATGTTTTGATTATAATCAAGAATCTGGTGTGTATCATGTGGTCGTCGCAATGATGGTGATGGTGCTGATGACGATATAGTGGATTATAATTTTATTCTTTTTTAAGAATATAGAGAGAGAGAGACTAAAAAAAAGTTCTTGATTCTAAATTCCTATACTGAATGCGTGATGCGTGAGAAAAACTATAAATTATGTTTGAATTGATTATCATTATTTTGTTTATAAAACTTTTTTGTTTTCAGCCATTCATGATTCTTGTTTCTAGTTTCAAACAACAACAAGTTTGCTTATTAGATCTAGATTTACACAACAATGAG